GTATTTAAGAGATCAAAAGAACCTGTAATAACTTGTCATGAGTGTATATTTCTCTCAACCACAAGCTCTTTCAGAATATTATACAATTCAAATTAAAATTATTGTATGAACATTACAGATAAAGTCTCAAATTAGAAAATTTAGTTTTAAATGAAATAAGTACAAAACATTAAAATAACAAGAATTTTTACAAACTTTGAGTCCATTCCATGTTGTGGGACATGTAGAAAGTTTATGCATTAACCATTTATGTAGCTCCATAAAGGGGGCTGGGTCCCTGTCCCCCTTCCAAAAAAACAAAACAAACGCCTATGAATCCGACAGCAACCCATCGATAAAAACACCAAACAAATATCAAAAGGGAAACATGCAGTTCGTATACTTCATACATGTAGCATGCTCTCCATTGTGAATAAAATAAATAAAAACTAAATCAACAAAGAATTTTCCAAAAAACATATATTTTTTTATTATGTATTTTTGACACGAGACAACCAATGGGAAGGTTCCTACCTTGGTACTGTCTACAGGCATTTGAATAAAACTATTTTTAGAATATTAAGTTAATTAGTAGATTAACAAATTTTTCATAAAAGGATTAACATCTTTCATTTCTGTCTTTTGCAAGTAAGACTCTTTTTTCCATAGGTAATTTGTTTCAAAATTGATCAACAATAATACAACTATAATACAGGATGCGAATCATCGATGTACATGAAATTCTACACCTGTGACGCATTTGCTTGTCTTCTTGCTTTATTGTCGCTCCTGCGACATGCGAAACATACAGATAACAATCCTTCGGCGTAAACTATTTGTATTGTGCTTTATATTTTAGATGGTAATTGACTTGAACTGGAGGCTTCATACCTTGTGTACAGATGGCTTATATTACGAAGGTCTGTCATATGTCTGTTGGCCTTGACCTCATTTTCATGGTCAAGTGACTGCTCGAAAACAAGTTTCTATTTTTGTTATGTGAATTTCTCACTTACCTATTATGTGACCTACAGAATTAGACTATTTACCGGGTTTGTAATAACATGAGCGACACGATGGGTGCTACATGTGGAGCAGGATCTGCCTACCCTTCCGGAGCACCTGAGATCAAACCCAGTTTTTGGTGGGGTTCGTGTTGCTTAGTCATTAGTTTTCTATGTTGTGTCTTGTGTACTATTATTTGTCTAATTTGCACAGTTCAATGTTAAAATTTTGTTTTTTGTCTATTACTATAAGCAATAGATCAACTATATCTAGTGTATGAAATGATTTTAAGGTGTGCATGTCTGTCTGGCAGGGTTCATCTGACGAGTCACCTTGATCTTATTTTTTCATGGTTCATTGGTCAATATTTAATTTTCATGGTTTTGTCTGTTTCTTGTATAAGATAAGCAATAGCAAAACTATATTAGGTGTGTGTAATGATTGTCAGCTATACATGTCTTTCTGGCTTAAATTTGTGTATCTCACCTTGATTTCATTTTCATGGATCTTTGACAATGTGAGGTTTATGTGACACTTGTACTAAAACTTTATCCTTAGGACTATCAGCATAAAATAATTCATGAATAGAAGAGCAGGCGAGACATTTCAGCTTGAGCATTCTTGTTGCATCTTATATGTTATATTTTATACATTATTGGTTAGAGTTTACAGGACTGACTTTTATTGTTGAGGACCAAGAAATATGAACAACAAGATAGAAATATAGAATGGTAGTATGAACACATGCTCACTACCAAAAAGAAGAGATATCTATTTTCTAATTTTATGTATTATAAAAGATAGAAGGTATGCTAGATAAGCATTAATATTATCTAAAATATGTTCAGTTACTGTTAAATTCATGCGAAGGCTCGATTCGTGTTCATTTCACATTAAAAAAAAAATGCATGTGATAGCTCGATTCACCTTAATTTCATAGGTTGAAAATTTGTCTGTATTTTAAATAATTCTTTTACACCAACCGCTTTGGATTTAAGTGCTTTAGGTCAAGGACAAAAAAGTTGCCGTTTTTTGCAATTGAACACTCTTTTAGTTGTGACGTTAAAGATGAAGAAAACCGAATTAGACTTCATATAGTAATAGACTGAAATATCTTTGGTAGAAGGGTTACTGTTTCATGGGGATTTAACTAATATTTCCTTTTATATTTACATTATGTAGTTTAATTGGATTCTGCCTTACTACCCTAAACATTAGTCCAGCTTTTCATTCAAAATCTACTGCTGTCGAAATTCTTATGCAATATTAAAACCACACAAAGAACAAAAAGAAGCAAAGTTAACTGAAGGTTCTAATTTCTTGCCGTTGAATAGAAAATATCAATGTTGGTATTGCTGGTTTCTGGTTTAAACCGATAGCGAGCTATCTGAAATGCAAACTAATCTAAAGCATTATTTTTGCAGACGTTGAAACTCCCAAACATGCCAAATAGGTCTATTACAATAAAAAAATATATAAGGAAATGTGGTTATAATTGCCAATGAGATAACTATTCACCAAAGTTCAATTAAGTAGATATAAGCAATTATAGTCGACTGTACGGCCTTGATTAAGTGAGTGAAAACCCATACCGTAAAGTCGCTATAAAACGTTTAAACATGTAAAATATGAATATGAAACAATTCATATGAGAAAACTAACTGCCTAATTTATAACAAAACAATTTACAAACAACAAATATGACCGAAATGAAGAAACCACAACCACTAGACTACAGGCTCTTGACATTGTCCAAGGTTTATGTTATAAAAAAAGATCTTGAAATGTGTGCATATTCTTTTAAATTACTTTGAAATTATTACTGATAACAAACTGTCATGGTATCAGAAGAATGTTTTCTATCTATATGGGAAACGTGAACTTTATTAAAGACTTCATTGCAATGTAAGTGCTCCAAGAAAGTACCTAGTCAAAAATAGCTATGACCATGCATTGTTGCTTAAAGAGCAACAGTTTTAATATGGACGACTGTTTATATAACCTATATGTTTATTTGTATTATAAAAACAAGGAGATGTGGTATGCTTGCCAACTATCAACAACAGATCAAGAATACTATATATAACCATAATGTCTAACGTCAGACGTCGACAAAATCGGGTTAACCCGCCACATTTATATGCACCTCTGTCCCAAGTCGGACAAAGTCATGTCAAAGATATGTCTTTGTGTAGTTATACATTTAGTTGAATAAACGATATTCTGACATTGTGCTGTACAGCTAGATAACATCTTTTTTTTTGTCGGAGCCATTCAGAGCTTCATGTATGGTGTAGACTGCTAAACATTGAAGAACTGTATTGGTGACCTCTGTCTGATGGTTTTGTATTTGTTGCTTATGTGATTGAATTTGACTGTCTTTATGACAGCTCCTTTTCCGTCTTTCACACAAATCAACAATGAAAATATCATAGCGCACGGAAAGCTGTAAAAGTCTATTTAATAACTAGCGAAATTAATCGTAAGAATAAAAAAAAAACCCGCACTGATCTACGTCAAAAACATTGAATAACATCATTTATGACATACAACAAACAACGACAATCAAAAATGAGAAGTCATGGCTTGAAACAGGCACATAAAGAATGTGGCCATATAGTTCATAAAAAAAAACATCTTCAATGCATTAATGGGTTGAAATGAAAGAATACATAAAGCGATGGAGTTTTAAAATAAAATACTTGTATTTATCCCAAACCAACTTATGATATTTGTTGATGATTGATTGATTGTTGGTTGCTAAACGTCCAGTGGCAAATATTTCATGCATGTTCAGGATGAGAACAAGTTAACAATAAATACAACAGGTAGGTCTTGTAATTATAGAGTCCCACCGGGATGATGGTGGGGAGAATTTCGACTGTCACTGGAAAATGATAGTATATTGGATAGGGACAGAAATTTTGCCTTGCAACAGGCTACCTACGGACCCCTCGAAGAGTTGTTGCAAGGGTCCTAAACGTGCAAAGAGCTTGGCACTCTCTTTACACGAGGCATCGGATTTACCTCACCATTCGGACAGGACGTAGCTGCAAACTTGATACATCCCGCACAGCCAAACGGACGCCCAACTTTGGCAAGCGTTTTACTGCCGGTCGGAAGAAGACCAAGTGACCATATTTCTATTCCCTACTCACCCTTGGGGCTTATGATATTTGTGATAGCATAACCGAGATTTTTTTAATTAGGTCTTGAATATGACTACAACTTTCAGTACTTAAAAATGACTGAATGTTCAGAACAGTAAAATGACTGAAATTTTCAGTACTGAAAAATGACTGAAATTTACAGTACTGAAAAATGACTGAAATTTTCTGTACTGAAAGACGACTGAAATTTTCTGTACTGAAAAATGACTGAAATTTTCAGTACTGAAAAATGACTGAAATTTACAGTACTGAAAAAAGACTGAAATTTTCAGTACTGAAAAATGACAGATTTCTTCAGTACTGAAAAATTACTGAAATTTTCAGTACTGAAAAATGACTGAAATTTTCAGTACTGAAAAATGACTGAAATTTTCAGTACTGTAAACAACTTTTTCTCAACATTACTAAAAATGATATATAAATTAATGTACTGAAAATGTATGGGTAAGAAATGTACTGATTAGTTATGTTTCCTAAAAGTACTTTTTATATAGCGGCATTTAATGTACTGATTAGTGGTGTTTCCTAAAAGTACTGTTTATATAGCGGCATATAAAGTCCTGATTATTTATGTTTCCTGAAAGTACTGTTTATATAACGGCATTTAATGTACTGATAAGTTATGTTTCCTAAAAGTACTGTTTATATAGCGGCATTTAATGTACATGTAAACGTTAGGCAAATTGTTGGTAGTGTAATATAGTACGGATAACAATAGCAAACCTGTTTATTTAATGTGTCAATCATTTTTTTTTTTTACTTTTGATAACATTCTTTGTTCGTTCGTTTTTACACATTATTATATCAATTTATAGGTTAACATTTTCATTTTCATTTTTTTTTTAGAAATATTGTACAGAAAAGTGAAATATACGTGCCAAATTCAATGGAGGAAATCTGATGTCTATTGTGCAACATTTTGAATAACGAAGTCCATTTTTGCTCATTTAAAATGTACACTTTACATTCCACCTTAATGCATATTGCTTTTACATTTCATATTACCTGTATGTTTTTTTTAAAGATTTTTGTTTCGGCGGCGCCGGCGCCGGCGATGGCGTAAATTATTTGTATAAAGCTTATATTTCAGAAGGTAGAAGACCTGGGTGCTTCATACCTTGTATGCAATTACCTTATGTTAAGAAATTTCCGTCTGTCATATGTCCATTGTCCTTGACCTCAATGTCAACTACATTTGGTGTATGGAATGATTGTAAGGTGTACATGTCTGTCTGGCAGGTATCAAATGACATTGACCTCATTTTGATGGTTTATTGGTTTATGTTAGGTTTTTGTCTTTTGGTCTGTTATTCAAATACTATAAGCAGTATGTCAACTATATTTGGTGTTTGGAATGCTGGTAAGGTGTACATTGTGTCTTGCAGGTATCATTTGACCTTGACCTCAATTTCATGGTTCATTGGTCAATGTTAAGTTTTTGTGCTTTGGTTTGTGTTCAACTACCATAAGCAATAGGTCAACTATATTTGGTATATGGATAAGTGTAAGGTGTACGTATCTGTCTGACAGGATTTATCTGACCTTGACCTCATTGTCATGGATTTTTAAAAAAAATGATGTTTATGTGATACTCGTAGTAAAACCTTTAACTTAAGACTTTCAACATAAAATCAATGGTGAGTGAAACAGGCGAGATATTTCAGCGTGTGCACTCTTGTTTTAAAAACGTATAATATTTGAGAGCAAAGCAAAAACCTAAAAGTTGGTACTGAAAAAGTTTAAATTTGAATGCTCTAAAATTTATTGATGAAAATTTGAATGCACAACTGACAATTTAGAGAGAAACACCAGTTCACAAATAGTGAATCCTTTCCTGCACGGTGTTGGTTAGCCTGCAGAAATACCCATCATCATCATCATGATTAACGAAGAATTATATAATTTTAAAGTCATAATTTACTCTCATTGATACATTTTAAATGATATGTAAAATATGTGATGTATAATACAATTTTGATGGTACGTTACAGATGTTTAACTCACATAAAAAACAATCAATTGCATAATTGTTATAAATTACTATACCATGCAAGTTTGATTGCCTCGAAAACTTTTATATATTTTTCACCAATTCGTTTAATAGTTTTCATTTGCTCCATGTATTGTATCATACACACTTTAACCATTCACGGCTTGAAAAAAGAAGGAAAACCAATAAGTCCAATCAAAACAGACAATACAACAGTAACGGACCTACATTCTGCAGTTACTTATACTTTGACATTGCACAAGGTCATGGTTTTCTAAGACGTTTTATGACGTCTTTACACTAAATTCATTGTATGTGTAATGATTGATATTTTAGTCTGATATATGAGTTATTTACCAATATTTGTTGTAAATGACTTTGATATTGTTTTCATTAACTGCCATGGCCAGTATCTCTTAGATCTGTACTTTTTGTCTTTAGTCTTTTTGTAAGTTGTTTTCTTTTTGTCGATCTGATGAGACAAGGTATTTTTTCTACTGATGTTTACAGTTTATTCTTATGTTGTGCTTTCACACCACAGTCCCAGGTTGAAACATCTCTTTTGTCAAAAATATTGTCCTCAGCCGACCTTTGTTGTCAATGTCTAGATGTAAGTCATTATATGAAGCATCATTGAGTGGTATTCTTTATTTCAAATGCGATGGTATAGATGTGTTCAAAACAGTCACCCCACTTTGAATTATTTAGTGAGCGGACATAATCTATCAAGTGGAACGTGAAGCTAAAGGATCAAGCTGTTATTTTATCTGCTTATTACATTGAAATATAAACAACTTTAAATTACATGATAGTTTCCTGTAAGATGTATGTACTGGAGTTCCTCAGTCTTTATATTTATATATGGTATTTTGAGACAGTTATTTGTCTTTTCGCTAATTTTTGTTTTTTGCCATGGCGTTGTAAAGTTCTCTTCGACCTATGAGTTTGAATAAAGGGACTTTCGTATCGTCTGCGTCTTTTACTTTTGGTGCAGTAGCAGCAGAAATCTGCATTAGGATTTTGAATCCGTATACAAACAGTTTTAACCAAAACTTCAAGTATACTGTGTTTTTTTTTTTACTTTCAAACGCAACAGGTTTCTGTAGTGGATTTACAACAAGATATTTGACGTTTATATTTCAATGTAATAGTTTGTGGATTATTAATCTAAATGTCTAATGTGCAATTTTTCATCAATTTATAGTTCATTTTTCATGTCACTGTAATATAATTATAAGCATCTGTTTAATATACTGATACGTTAAAGGAATAACACCACTAATTCATACCCCTATGGCTTTCTATGTTAAATTATGCAACTTCAAGCATTCATAGCTATTTTGTCTTACGTTCAAATAAAGTGACAGTCATTTCATGTCAAAACTATACCTAAGCCTGACTTGCACTAAACAAAACATAACTTTCATTGCATATTAGAGCGCGCTGGTTCCCGGAAAATGGGTAGTACAAAAAGGTCTCCTGATCTGACCAACAGGGCAAATATGCCATCCTGTTTTAGTTTCATACATGTTTTATTATTCAAAAGACACTTTGAATAAAGGTTATATAGTATTTCCAAGTCATTAAGCTTTCATTTGAGACCAAAATTACTCAAATAGTTTACTTAATGACAAAGTTACAGGTATGCCTAGGAACTATTTTGTTTAAAATATGTACTACTTTCTTGAATGTACTTTTTGTCCGGGCCGAATTAGTGGTGCTATGCCTATATATAATTCAAAAATGTAATAAATTTAACACACCAAGCCAAAGAGTTCTTGTTATTCTTTAGCAGATGTACAAATAGTTATATCTAACAAATCAATTGTCATTCAACAAAAAGTCTCCGTTTTTAAATACCGTTACTGTTTAACGAATTTATAGTCAAGCTACAAATAATATATATTTAGAATAGTTACGGGTATATGTTGATATTTTCATCAATTTCACCAAATAATTTGTGATTTGTTGACGTCAATTATCCGACGTCTAGCCATTGTTAGTTTGTTTACCAAAGTAACGAATAATTAGAAAAACTACAGCAGTACAATACCAAAACATTCGACATCGAAACGACAGTTTTTACTTTGAGTGGAAAACACGCTAAAGTAGGCAGATAAGTTACCACAACGGTCATATGTCAGTAAGCATTAGATATGATTATCCATTAATACGTAATGTTAATGTTAAAGAAAACGAAAAAACGCAAATATGACATAGGACAGCACCAGAACAATGCTGAACGGACAAACTATTTAATTAAGAACTAGTTATGTTTGGCTACATACATGTGTATATGTTTCGGACCAAATGAATATTTGGACCATACGCGTATCGTCATGACCATATGCGTATACTCATATGGTCCGACCATACGCGTATGATCGAACCTTATGAGTATATACTCACTAGGTTATTAATGGGCCGGACCATACGAGTGTTAAGACCATATAGGAAAATTCTAACTTCCTCCTGCTCGTTCTTCAAACCAAAATCGACACAAGTTACTAACTGATATCCTTTATCTTTCACATATTGTATAAATCTTGGTGTATCTGGCATCTTATAGATAGAGTCAATTTAAAGTGCCTCTTTCCTGTCGGCTTTTCGGTCGGTAAGTGAAACCGGTCAGCACAGTCGTCAGTTGGGGCAGGGGCCATTTTTGCGGTGTTTAGATTATTTATATGTATTTAATCTCTTCTAATTTGTACTTATTGTCACTTAATTTATGTGATTTTGTTCCATTCAAACGAACTAACAATAATAGTAGTTTATTCATACAACCCCTCTATTTTTATTTTTCACATAAGTATAGAGGGACAGCACGCATAAAGTATTGTTTTTGTAAAATGGATAGGAGCATGCACAAATCAAATTACTAAACACAATTGGAATAATAAAGAAATTCTAATCAACTAAAAAAAAAACGAATTGAAACACAAAAAAACAAAGAAAAACTAAAATTATGCCCAATATGCCTGTGATTAAAACAGTTGACTTCTTGTTGATCGATTTATGTATATAGTTTTTGAAATTATTTTCCAAAGTCGAATTCGACATATTCATTAAGCTTCGTAAGGAAAATTCGGTAATGACCATGTAAAAATTCCTTTACAATTAATTCACCAAATGATTGAATAAGTCAAATTTCCATTTTTAGAAACTCTTTTTCACAATGTATGACACCCTGAAGGGTCTTTCATACCTTATACATTTTACAGTAATAGTAAATTTTCAACGTCCACTGTGTTAATTACCCAGTCATATGCGTATGGTCTAAATACTCCTATGGTCAGGAACATACATATTCCTTAATCATCTATTTGTACATCCAAAAATGTATTAGTGCATCAAACGTAACACTCTGATGAATACATCCTAGAAAATAGCAGTTATTTCGATTTGTCAATGCCATCTTGGTGAAGACCATAACGATAATTTATTTAAACTTATTGGCCGTGTCCTGAATGACACTGAAGCTATTTTGCACAAATAGCTGGTACGTTAAAACATATGAGTTTTAACCTGGAGCCACGTAGTTTTTTATCATTGTATTATACAGTTTGCTTCACGTGATACTCCTCGACCCCAAAGATTTTCTAAATAGTCGGCAAGTTTTAACGCATTCTCGTTAGGAGGCTTTCCAATTGCCTCAATCGTTTATAAGACATATAATTGTGTACGCCAGACGCGCGTTTTCAAAAGATTCATCAGTGATGTTCGAATCAAAAAATTTAAAAGGACAAATAAAGTACGCGGGTGATTTCTATGTTCAAATATATTCGTTTGATTTTTGGCGTCTAAACAATGCATATGAATTGAATCACAGTGTTTGGAGGTCAGGTATTGGTGAATCTCAGAAGCTTTAGATTGTAGCACTCACATCGCACAAATGGCATTCTCCTTAAACAATACAGAGTTAAGAACTTAAGACAATTCATCTTATACCAGCAGATTTCATTCTCACCAGTTTTTTACCGTTTGCTGAACCATTTGGGTCTTTCATGGTAATTGGCATTGTGTCATATGGAAAGAAAATAACATATACCGGGTTTTGAGTTATTCTTGCGTCTAACAATCAAGTGTTTTCTTCAATTTGGCCTTCTTTGTGCATGTTTACCAAACTAGTGGTTATGTCACTGCTGAATTTCGGGGTTAGATTAGCGTTTCGTTTTTGTAAAATCTCCATTAT